ATGCTGCCACTAGACTCGTTGTTGGACTACGTGGAACCAGCTATGAAGATCGTCTACAGGCTACTGGTCTGTTCCCAGTTGCGTATTGGCTCCTCAGGGCGAGATCTCATCTGTCTGAGGAAGATCCTGAGGGGTGGTATGGGACTGGAGCTGCAACAGTACTTCCCTTTACGGACAGAGGACCGCACCCTGGGGCACTCTGTCACTTTGAGGAAACTTCAGTCAGTTGGTCTTACATTAGTCTACCGACTCTCGCGGAGGTCAACAACGCTCTGGAATTCCCTTCCAGCGGTCGTGGTGGAGGAGAATACAGACACTGCTTTCAAACAGCGTCTGGATGAACACCTGAATGGTCTATGGAGGAACGAACACTTGTGATCGAACCTTCGAACCAGTGGTGATGGGGCTTACACGGACACCCTGCCCTCTGCCCTCAATACTGAAGACTGATTTGCTCGCGGGTGAAATACCACCCAGGTCAAATTAGGGGAGGTTTTAGAAGATTCACTTATGAAGCCTTAGACCGACCATTGACTTATGTCCTGCACGGTTTCGCTGCATCTCAACTAGTACCAACTGCTGTCAACTTCAATATTTATATAGGGTTAGGGAGTGAATTGCTTAATGAAGCTGAGGGTGAATAGAAAGGAGTCACCAAAATAAAGCTAGGATTATGAATAAATCTTTCTGTTGATGCGGGAGGGGTTTCCATCGATCGATTGCATTCACTTCGACGATCTTGAGCATTCTATCTGCAATCTATCCGCAGATCATTCTAAATGCTTTCTGTTGACCAGCGGATTGTCAAGTCATCATCATCAGCTTGACAGTTGAAGAGTTTGGTGTATTTATCCATAGCACGTGTCAACAACTGTCTAGACGTTTCCCATTATTCACGGAAGAAGGCCGGTTTCAGTTTCTCAATAAAAAGTTTTATCTCATAGGTCGGACAGAACTATGGGAATATTCTTTGATTGGAACATATTTTTGGCCAAATGATGCTTCCTAATCTGTTTCTCAGTGTCATCATCACATGGGTTTCTATCTTCATTGCTAGCGCACAGTATTGTTAGTGGGTCCGTAACTTAATACAGAAAATCAGGATGAATGTTTTGTGAGAATACATCGATCGATTAAACGACGGACTAAAACTTGTCAGCAATGGCTTACGGAGGAACAGTCCGGACAACTATTGATCAGTTTCTGACATTGGTAACTGCATCACGTAATTGGACGATCAGTAGGAACAATGACGTATATTTTTAACCCCCTTGTTGCCTTTAACTACGTTTTCGACCTTCCCATTTCAGTGTAGGCCGTCACAGTGGCGTGACCCAATCACCACACCTTGGTTCAGTTTGGATGCTCTCGGCAAGAATCGGATCGGGGCTTTGATGCGTAACATTGTGGATAAAGTGGTTCGTGTCAACCTGGTCCGTGTTGCTCGAGCCGCCANAGCCGCCACAATGGCTGCCAAGCAATCATGTGTCGATGTGATTCGGCGTGCCGTGATGGTTGCACCCACCCTGACCCAAACCACCTCAGAATCAGTTAATTCATTATCAGCTCCGGACTGTGTGGCCGATCTGATCGCTCGTCGACAAGTGTTGGTTAATCGACTAGCGGACCTGCTAGGACTGAACCCGGCAGCAGTGACCGAATCGGGTTGGTTGGACCAATTGAACGCATCCATCGGAACCACGTTGATCCCACTGAACACGCTACCCGTCCAGTCTGGAAATTGGATCGAAATAGGGACTCCCAGACAGACTGGGGGAGCAACCCAATCGACCAAACCACCCTGTATTCCGACTGGAGCATTTGTCAGTTTACCTTCTCAATTTAGAGACGACGTAACCGAGCAACAACAACAAAAACACCGACAACAGCAGCAGCAACAACAACAATCTCCTGTGGTTCGGATTGTCACAGAACATACAGGTACGGTTCTCATTCATTCTCCTGTCCTTACGATGGATTCTGCTTCACGAACCCCGACGCAGGTGGTTCTGTTAACGACCAACCCAAGTGATGGTACTACCGTACCTGCTCCATATCTGGTGGTCCCTACCACATCCAGTCAGACTGGATTGATTCTACTCCCGGCCACACCCAAACGTGATATCAATCATTACGCATCGGTGACACCCGGTCCGATGCTAACCATTACCCCGACCGTGTCATCGACCATACAAACCACAGCCACCACTCCGTCCACACAGAATGGTTCGATTCTGAAGCCGGATGGTCTGGTACGCATCTGTATTTTTTGCGCTTGTTCACTTTTTGTCTTTAACGTGTGTAATTTCATGCGTTCAGTTTCCCTTAGGAGTTTTCCAAGAACGGTAGCATGCATCATCACAAGTTGAATTCAAATGTTACGCGTGAACTCTTCAGCGTATTTATGTGATAGTTCGATCAGAACAATTACAAATCTTTAACATGAGAAGCGCTCAACTAGGCAAAATCAATTCGAAGGTCAAAGGTCACCAGTTTCACTTGAGTTGGACGGAGGGAAGGGGTGGAAAAACATACTTATGGATCGGAAACACGGTAGCAGCCTTACAATGGCAAAGCCATGCTAGCCTTAATATATTTGTAAGACGTTTGTGACACCGAATACCTGCGGTCTCAGCACGCCGTAGCAACCACCTGATCCTCTGCCGCCTTAGCACCCGGAATACTTGATGCAGGCTTTGCAGTCCTATACATGGCGGAAAGTGGAGCTGGAAGGAATCTTCGAACCATTCAGCGATAAATTTTTCGGGAAGTGTTCTGATCATTCTGAGCGATCGTTGCTCAGTTCTATCGTCATAATTGCCACCGCAAGTGCATTGAAAAAGGTCAGTACATGAGGGGGCAACTTGATAATCCTGCTTGTCCAAATTGGATTTAGCAATCGGTTGTCTGCGGCGTAGTACATTATTGAGAGAACTTGTTTTATACAGCGTGTTAGTTTCTCATTCTTTTATCTTTAACCAATAATGCGATGAGGACGCACTTCTTTGGTGCATCATATCTTCTAGCTCTTGTATCTTTTATTTTGTCATACTTCACCTTGAAGTTCCGGGAATATCCATTGTCCTGCAATGCACGGGATATCAGCTCAAGATCACCTTCAAGTTTTTCTTAACTAGGGTTCGGTCATGATGCATTGAACTGAAGTTTCTGAAGGTCAGATACTGTCCCGTCCAAGTTTATTTATGGAACGTAGACCTATTATAGTCACTTATTGGGACTTATTTGTTTTGTTTTCAAAATAGGGGTTAAGAAGCGATCAAAGTTGACTTCGGACGAAAAATCAAGGATGCGTAAAACGATATGGATAACTGTGTATTTCTGTATTAAACGCTCTAGTGCAATGAATAATAAAAAGAGCGATATCCCAAGTCACAAAAGGCTTTTTCTATGTTCTGGGAACCGACCAACTTTCTTTCTGGGCACTTGAAGGGGCAAACTAAATATAATCCTTGTAGGATAGTTTTACTATTGATCCGATATATATATATATATATATATATATATATATATATACGGCCAACCGTCAGACATATAATTTGGAGAAAGTTGTCGGCGGTAGTGGGATTCACACACGTCCTCTGGGGTAATGAGTTGATACCTTTAGTCACTTGACTACCTCCACCCTTATATATTGGAATCCCTACAATGTTTTCACCCCTCCTGTTGTGCCAGTGTTCAAGCAGTTTGATAAGCAAGCAGTGAACTAAGCAGTACGTTTATTGTAGAGACCACATATGCAGCCGGTCCATAGACCGGTAAGCAAGCAGAAGCGGGTAACACGTATGAAGGTAGGCCAACACTGACTCAAGCGTCAGACGATATCTGCATGCCATCAAGCCGACATTTAAACAGTTAAACAATCAATCAGCGAGAACAGTTCAATAGTAATATCTGATTGGCTGGAGCCGATCGATATTGTAGTAGAGTCTGTCCACATAGCGCGAGTGCATGCGTGTGTGGCAGCTAACAGTAGCTGTCCATTAATCAATCAATCAATCCGGCCACAGGCAAACGCGATAAAGGCACCAGTCGCTTGTGGGCTACAACTCCTCCGTTCTGGTTAACTGTTGACATTAGGCTTAACGATCTCCATCGTCATAGTTGTATTAGTCAAGCAGAGATGGATAAAGCGAATCGGGATAGCAATTAACATGAAAGCCTGTCGGCCTCTATGTCACTGCGGGTCATTGTGTTGCATCATCATGATTGGCTCATGCTTTACTGGCTGACCTTTAGCACTTAAATATTTGTTCACCTTATTCTCAATCAATAATCATCTCGTTGAGTCTCAGTGCATTTCTTGATCTATGCTTACACATGGACACGCACTGGCCACTGATTCAGTAACTCGACTATCAACTTAGGCTTGCTCTTTTTCATGGGATTCACGGGAGATTAACTTTTTCAATGTATTTTAACAGATTTTTCCCACCGCTCATGAAATTTGGAAGGAGAATAATGACCTCTTCGTCGTCGGTTTTATCATGAGGGTGCAATATAAGTGAGGTTTGACTGTATATATGTGACGTAAACTATATTGGGTTCTAACGGTACAGATTTTTCAAAGCATTCTGGTTAGCTTATCACCTCATCGGCTTCTTCTATACACTGCATTTTTATAGATGACAAGCGGTCCAATGTCGTTGACGCTGAATCAACCGGCCGCCTATTTGACTCACACAGCCAATCAGGGCTCAGTTAATCTATTCGTAGTCCGTCCAAATCCTGTGAGCACAGTCTCGACTGTGTCTAATCTCGTGAGCAGTTGTACTGGTCTTCCTAGCGCGCATTCTACGGATTCCTCAGTAGTCCATATAGCACAAGGGAAATCGGCCTTGATTGAGATGAACAAAGCTAATGTGGATTACTCGGTCCAGAATCGGGCCACTTCATTGTGTCAGACAGCGTATGCGCGTAATCCTTCAACTCAGTCAAACTCGGTTTCCGATACAGCAATACTATACAACAACGCCAAAGAGCGCACATCCGATTTGATCGCATCGCACACTATCAAGCTGGAAGATCACACACCGTGTAGCTCTGAAACTCTCGAACCTGATTACTCACAGTGTGCTTTATATGTTCAGGCAGTCGAAGATGGTGACCAATCTGTAATGGTATGTGCTCTACATTTTGTCTCTGTCGCTCTTCTCTATTCCTAATTCAAAACAAGACACATAAATACGGTTTCACTGCATCTTAGTTCACGCTTCGCCAATATAGTCGGTTGAAACATGCATATTTATTTGGTTGAGGATCATGATAATCTTTTACTCCATCTTACTGTCTACGCATACGTGTAATCAATTTTTAAGACGAATGATGCGATCGATCAAACAAATGTTAGAGGACGTTTAAGTGAGCATGAGTAACCATTGGAGCCGGTTTTGGTCTTAAAGACAACGAGCAAACAACGCTGACAGGCTTATGGAACTTTGGCTTGTTCTTTCGAGCACCAGCTTGTAAGTTTTAGTTTCAGTTTCTTCAACCATTAACCATGCACTTTCGTGCGCCCGTTTTCCTTGCTGTCTTTTCGCGCCCCATTTGGATAAAAGAGCAGAATAAAGATTAGAGTGTTGAGAGCAAATTCAAGCGGAATATGGAAATTGCATAGAGAGTGATGCTAGGAGAATAATGAGTGGATGCATGAGCGCCACTGTTTGCGACACCCAGCCATATCAATCAGTGTCTCTAACCATTGGTGACCATCATCTCGAGGTCCCCAGCCAGGGAGCCTGACGGGACCTAAATGAACTAGTCTCCTGGATAGGGTTTTCTTACCCTCATGCCACGTCTTAGCTTGGCCACCCTTGACCTTTTTCCAACCACACCCTGGCTCGGCAAACATCGCTCGCCGTGGAAACCTAGTTGGTGACATGCGTAACACATGCCCCAACCAACGTAGTCTATTGAGGTCGACCACTTGCCCCAGTGGACGATCGCGACTGCCTAAAACTCTACGCCTAACATAAGCATTGATCGTCCGGCTGCCCCACCAGACTTGTGCATGCGACGTAGACAGCGGTGTTCGAACACCGACAANCCCGCCACAAATGTCTCAAGTTAGCAAACGCCAATCGAGCCTTTTGTATACGCACCGACACTTCATCCGTGCTGCGTCTGCCAGGTGAGATATAGCTGCCCAGATAGCAAACGTTGTCTACTTCCTCTACTACTTCCCCAATCAGGGTGAGGCTGGGTGCTGGACCAACCCAATCTTGTAGTCGCAGTTTACACTTTGAAGGTGCAAAACGCATACTGAGCATGGATTTACTAGCACTCAAACTATCCAGAAAAGCTTGCAACTTACTAGAATCTTCAATTAGAAGCAGAATGTCATCTGTATGCTCTAGATCAGACAGTCTACAACCTGGAAGTAAATCGAAACCGCTATCATCGCACGGATATAGGGCTGTTTCAAGAAAAGAATCTATCACGAAGTTAAATAGAAACGGAGAAAGAGGGTAACCCTGTCGAACACCACTTTCCATGGTGATTTCGGGTGAAAAAATGCCGTAAGCTTGGACTCGGCTTTGGCTATTATTATAGAGGGATTGCAATATTGAAATAAACTTTTCGTGCACACCCCTCAGAGCGAGGTAGCGCCAGAGTTTAGAGCGGTCGACTGAGTCGAAAGCTTTATTGGGAGTTGGGTACAGGAAACGTTTCCAGAGTCCTCCGGGTTTGGGTCGAGGTGACATCTCTAGTCTTTGTACATCGAAGTGCTTACTGCAAAGTAGTAGGAAGGAGGCGCATGGTTGCCGGTACCCCTTTGGCGAGTGGGCCTATACGCCATTGACAGTTTCTAACTGAACAGTGGTCCATGCATCCCTGGCGAGAACGGAGTCATTTTGTTATAATTCCAAAGGGCGGTGCTCGGTCGAGGATAGTTGTTTATTGAGGATCACAGAAGGGACATCAGCACTTGGTATACATAACACGGAAAATCTCATCATCGCAGTTCCTGGTCACGCGACAGGTAATGAATTTAGAAATTGATAGTTCTTCTTTGAGACCCAGCAAATTGCTCTCAGTGATCTTGTTGATTTTTGATCGTCGAAAGTGTTCACCAACTATGTCACCTACTACTACTACTATACTACTCACAAGTGAGTAGTATCTCACAGCAATTGCGTTGACCTTTGAGTTTTGAAAGCAGTTTCGTCCGCCCAACGCGTATATTAGACAGCGAATCACCGGAAGTTAAGCTGCCGGTTACCCTCAAAATGGTTTGGTCAACCTTTACCTTTGTAATAGCTTTTTAATTCCCCTTGCCAGTAAACCGCAATTCCAGCTGGCTGTAGGTCTATTGAGACACGTGTCGCCGTGGTACGCGAGCCCAGTCCAAGCTGGATGATAGACCTAGGTTGCCTGGTGGTCAGGTTAGCGTCTCCGGAAACATTCGAAAATGTCAAACTGAGCCTTACAAACGGTCGGTTTCTTCCAGGTCGTGGCTGTATAGATCAAATATTCACTCTTCGTCGAACACACAAACAGCGTAAAACCTGCCAAAGGCCAACAATCGTAGTTATAAGTGATGCTGCATTTGTAGAAACTGGTGGTACTTATATGCGTGCGAAAAATTTTCGATTGAGTCTTCATGAGAACACAAGTTAGCAAATATGCTCGCTTTCGGTGGTACATCAACTGGCCAAATGTAGCACAATTTATGATAGAACAGACAGGCGTTCAGAGGAGAAACATATCTGCGAATGAAATCAGAGTTTAGAAAGAGAGTGTAAGATACGTCTGGATCCCGAGCCTAGTTGAGTTACGCGCAGGCTTCAGAAGACGGATTCAACTAGTCTGAGGTATCTGTTTAAAGCAGTACTATCATAAGCAAACATGTAAATAAATTAGTATATATACACATCTCAATTCGTGGCGTTCCGAACGTACAACTATCCAACGCGATTGAGGATCGCCAGTAAGGGTTGAAAAACCAATCGAGGGAGGTCACAACTCCGTGACGAGAAACAAAGAGCAATGAAAGGTGAAATGCCCAAGCTGTCTGGTCAATGATTCTATCGGCAACTCTCATTGATCCAAAGAGCAAATGGAAAAGGAAAAACGGCCTGATCAGTTGTGCAGTGACCGAGTGGGTAGCATGTTTGCGTTCTGCCTATGAGATCCCGGGTTTGATCTTCTGTTGGGCCGATGGGTTTGCACTGCTGATAAGACCTAACCAGGTCGAAACGTTGTACAGTGCTTCCTAGCTTTTCAGTTCACGCTTCATTTGTTATTTACACGATGAATTTCCCCTTTGAATTATCAGTCAATCAGAGTTCGACACGGGCAGTCCGGGTTAGATGTGTGTGTGGGTGTGTGAGAGAGAGGAGGGAGATGTGTGTGCGCAGTATTTGGAGAGGCAAAGGTCACGTGACCAAACATGAGCCAGTGTGTCGTGATAGAGGAGGTGAGATGCAGGCAATCGCCTAGGATGTTGACAAAATTCGGAACTTGACCTCTTTAGATATCAGTTTGAATATTCCCATGATAGCATTGTGAAAACGAACCGGTGACCGAACAATTGCTTCCAGATATTCCTAGTAGCATAGAGTAAAAAAATGGTTACAGAATGGCAACCATTGACTCAATTTAAGGTCATTAATGTGTCACTTAATGTAACCTTTCTCTATTTGGGTCAAGGGCCACGTCGTATTCCGTTTTTGTTTTCCGTTTAAAGGGGACTCGTACACAGAAAGCCTAGTACAGTCACTGAGACCGGTTGTTAATTCTCTTTTCCCTGCAGTGAAGCTTAGAGCGGTGTTCTCAACATACTCGGTGGTGAGAATGCAAGTAAGAGACAGACTGCTGAAACTGACCTCACCCATGTTAATTTAGTCCTTTAATTGCGTCTGTGGCGCATGTTACATAGGTCGTACGGCAAAGCGTTTATCTCAACGCGTTAAGAAGCACCACCCGCAATGATTAAGTAAGGGGAAGACCAGCTGCATTTCGAGCGCGATCGTGGGTCCTCTCGTAGACACCGGAGACAAGATCGAACCCGAGTTGGGACACCAGCCATGACTGAGGCGATCGCCATTTGCTTACTTTGCCCAACCCTGTGCGCCCAAAACGACTGGTTTAAGCACTTCAATTGCCTCGACCCAGTGGGAAAACCAAAGCAGAACAAGACGTGTCTCTTGACCCCAATGGAGCAAGGTCATACCAACTGACACTGCAAACGTTCCTACACACAAACACACACATCCGCTTCCCTTCGACTCCGATTAGTGACCTTAAATTGAACTAGTGGCTGTCCTTCTTTAAATAAGCCACGCTTGACCGTATAGAGAGGTCTTAAAGCCTCAACCATATTGACTGTGGGCTTAGACAGAGTTAAATAATTCGCAATTGCCTTGGCTGCGATCCTTGTCAATCCATGAGTGAATCAGCTGGGGTGATGAGCCAATTCTCGCCGTTACGCAATCTCTTTCTAAACTCTGTTTTTTATTCGCAG